TTACTAGACGATGGATAATATCCAAGTAAATTTTTATTCAATTGCCTCTTCACCATCGTCAAGAAGTTTTGGATTTGAAGAAAGGGAGTTGAAGAGGAATACTGATTGGCTAACAGTAAGACGAAGGGAAATTCGTTCTAGCCAGCATGGCCTCTGACAATTCCAAAAACGATGACAACAAAGTTTCCCACATAATTTGCTATCGAAATACATTATTAATTGATGGAGAGTCGGTATATGCTTGCTAGCATTCAGCCATGTATCCTGCGTGAAACATGAAGATTAATATGCGAAACAATTGTGCCGTCCGGGAAAGATGTAGGCGGCGCGAAGGGTACTGCACTACTGTCAGACGGGAACAGGGTAGTACATCTGATTTAGATGTTTGGGTATACATTGTTTGAGAGGGACAAATGTATGATTTACCAAATACTGTACCGATATACTCGGTGCGAGTGATTAGATGTAAAATCAGTAGACCGCCTGCATCAAACATGTTTAGACTACACGCACCAGGTTGCTGTAGGAGAAGTTGTCGCACGAGTACGGCGACCTGAGATGTTGTAATGAAGTAGAATCGCTTTTGAGTTCTGTGGTGTGTCGTACTTCGAAAAGGTACTTTCTTTAACAATGCTGCCAGTAGCATCAAATGATAGGATGATTTACTAATAATGAAATGGGAAGTCTATGGAAGGACGCAGTCTTGCTCTAATATGAAGTACTATCCCAACGTTTGCCTGGACGGACTGGAGAGCAGTGTGAGAAACCTCAGTCAGTGCAGCCAGTCTCAGGGCGGAGACATGGTTTAAAATAATAAATACATAAAATTGAAAACTTAGAGATTTGAAGTTGTAACGGCGGTGACGATAATGATGATATTAGTCTGAGTTTAGCGCCATGTTGACTATTCGGTAGATGCCTGCATTTCGAAGAAGTGACTTTAGCATTTACCGACCAGTCAACATGGCGCCAAAACCAGTAGAGCATAATTAATTCTAGTGCAATTCCTTAAAAGAATGTTTCGCAAATTAGGAGTTGTGTTGAGTAAAGTGACTATATACGTTATGGATGTTTTGAGTTTGATACCGGATAGGGACAAAGATTATTCACGTAGCCATCACATCCTAACAGTTTCTTTTATCGTTACATATGGTTTCCGAAACACCAAGAATGAAATAAAATAAACTACAAGTTTGCTAATTGCTTTGTATGGGCGTGAAACATGTCTCTTACTCTGATAAAAGAACATAAGCTTATCACAATTTCCTGAATACAGAGTTTATTTGAATAAAACCACGTGGGGCAATTTGGGATATTACATGGCACCAAACTTTGTAATATACAAGCTAAGGTTAGTTAATTAATGTATGCCACGGTAGGTTGGATATATGGCTTGAATGAGGAGATAAGAAATGTGAAAATAATTTTGATCGAAAAACATCTTGGAAAATCAAGGGCATGGAAGAGTTTAGGGGAACTTTTATGATAGTGGACAATGAGTGCAACTGTCTCAAGTTCTTTTCCAGTAGTTAACTTTGGTATAAGCTGGTTTAAACATTACGGATTCTGCCACTAGAAGAAAGTTGTTATGGTAGATTATATCTCTGAGTAGCATATGAGAGTTTAAGTAGGCCTGCACATAAGAGGAGTAAGTTTTAGTGACATTCCATAAGACAGGCTAGTATAAAGTGTAAGTGCAAATTACAGATTTGACAAAGCTTAAATAAATTTCGTGTCCTTTAATGCGCCCAATCAATAGGACCGTAACACGTGAGTTGGTGACACACTGTTCTCGGCTGATAGCCTACTGGGTACTGTTTTTTAAATTGTATTTTGATATCTGAAATTAATAGGCCATACGTACTAGTTTAAAGGTGGTTGCAAGTAATTACAGAAATTAATTATATGTACATTAGTTTTTAGTGAAACGTAATTGATAATTTTTCCTTCTTTGCGTGTTTCATTTATATAAAGAACCAGATGTCAGTGACATCTCATATCATGTTCATGCAATTACTTCCGCATTTCTACAGACACTCCAATTGTCTTATAAATTAAACAGAGTAGGCAGTAACTGTGTTCACTTCACAACTGTGTAATAAGGATTTTAACTTCTACGTTATTGTGAACGTAAGTCTTACATAAGCCTGTAAAGATAAATATTGTTGTGATGAAACCGAGGGGAAGAGAAACAGTGTATTCGCTTCACTTCTATAAGCTCTCATTCTTGATACCACTTCGCCTTATTGCGATAAATATCCCAGCGTCGTAATATCTCGTATTGTGTGAACTCAAATAGCAAACACCTCTATCCATAGATGCTCGGAAAGCTACAGAATATCACTTGCGTTTCTGCTGACGGAACATTGACAAATAGTATTTAGTTGATTGAAATATTTGAATGTTGACTTGGTTTGGTGTAATTATAGTAAGGGCTCATGTCCTAGTAGGGCGGTGGATTCGGATTGTATGGGGGCTGTACCTCTGAAGCGCCTGTAATCATAAAAGAAGATGTTTTTATCAACCTTGGGATTAGATAATGCGTTGTATTGACTTAGGATATTATAAACACTCTGAAACAATATTGTTAATAGGCATGTAAATCATATTCACGATAAAGCCGGGAGAGAGAGAGAGAGAGAGAGAGAGCAGAACTCAAGAATTACATTCTCTCGTTCTGAACCTTCCTTCACTTGCCTTTTTCATAAAGTCTAAACACTTATATAAGTTTAAACACATACATACGCAGTTCTGCCAATTGTTTCCTGTAAGTGAGAAATTGGCTCTCTGAGATTGAAATAAGCACAGGTATTCCTTCTATATGAAAAAAGTTGTGGAAATATATTAAGTGACGAGAAGAGATGTTAATTAGGAAGGGAATAACAGAAGCTACACAAGAAGACAGTTTATAATATGTACTTTTCGTACAATATGCTGTTATTAAATTCTTTAAATAACTTACATTTATACAGATGGAACATTTAGTGGACTGTTGAAGCGGAACTTAAGGAGTGCACAGGTTTATTTGAGAAGACTGACGGAAAGACACAAACTGGGGGACAGCCACGCAGATGGGTGGATGAAGGTATAATTAAATTGAATTCATGTATTAGAAGAAGGAAGATGCGATTTAATGGCAACTGAAGAACCGCCTCGTTCCGTACTCAGGGATATCGGTTCGACCCCTATTCACCACTGAGGGAAGGCACTTTAACACAAGATTTTTACTTTTAAAATATGAAGTAACGTTTTGATTTGATTTAGCGTTATTCTGATTTGTGTCAGTATTGTTTTATTTTGTGATGAAGATATTTTTATCTGGGAGATGTGAAGTAACAGAGGAGTAGAAAACATTGCACGATAACAATCTTAATAATGTTACTTTTCGCTTAATATCAGATTAATTGAAACCAGAAGGAAATATTGGGTGTGGTATGTAGCAATACGTGGAGACAATTAAGAAACTATACACAATTTTGATTGGAAAACTTCAAGAGAGCAGACGTAGAATTAAATGGGAAAGTAAAGTCAAAGTAACTGGATTCAACTGTTCCATTATAGGATCCAATTTCGGGTGTATGTGAAACCTGGGATGAAAGTTAGGGCTTTATAAAGGCACGAAATCTCATCAACTGCATAACTGTAAGTAGATTTCTCAGTGAAGGCTGCAATTACACAATGGAGTTAGTCAATAACATTACCTGTAGTGTGGCCGGTCTCAGAGTATTGTTTATATTCTGGAACGGTGTTATAGTACGGCTCATTTGCTGGCTGTATCTGTGGCTGAATTTGACCTGAAATAAACGCAGAGAATTTGTTCATCAGCTGAGTGACTACAGATTTTTAAAGGAAGACTCTAGTTAGATCTCTTGGGGTTAGTATCATTACCTGTAGTGTGGCCGGTCTCAGGGTATTGTTTGTATTCTGGAGCCATGTTGTAGTATGGTTCATTTGCTGGCTGTATCTGTGGCTGAACTTGACCTGAAATAAACGCAGAGAATTTGTTCATCAGCTGAGTAACTACAGATTTTTAATGGAAGACTCTATCTTCAGAACGGAATTTACTTTTGCACTTCGCACATTGTCTTAAAGTCTTAATTCTTTGAAGCATGAAGTTATTAACATAGAATTTAAAAGTAAGTTGTTATCCCAAAGAAAACACAACTCGACTCCGTTACGATCAGTTGATTAATGCTGTTTCAGAAAGTAATCGCTGTTTACTCTGAGAACCATACGCCAACCATAAATACACTCTGTGGGCACAAAGTGGGTGGCACATGCAGTTTACGCTGTACTTTTAAAAGTACAGTGTGTGTCAATATGTGTTTGCAATGTGTGAAGCAGAGGGACCTACATGTCTTAGTTCTTACCGGGTGAATAGAAGCCGCCAGGATACGAAGACTGCAATGGTGGCTGGAGGTTTGATTGCTGTGGGTAAGCTGGGACGGGCTGCTGCTGCTGCTGCGTTGTGGCTGAAATAAACAGTAAAAATATTCAAAATGCCGACCAGAGGGGCCCTGCGATCTTAAGGAGCATACCATCTCGAAGCACTGAAACGCTTCCGTCGTGGATTCGAATTCCGCTCAGTGCTCTTGTGTAAGTTTCTGTGTTCTGTTGGTCTTTGCAGACAGAGACCCTGGGCTATGGTATAAGAACCTATTGTGGAATACCGCTATACTGAGGAAACAAAGTGTTACATCACTCAAATGAACTGCCACGTAGATTCTTGGGTTGAATGACGTTGAATTTAAGTAGTGCTTGCTCGAACAGTTTTGGTCTTTGTTGATAGTTTTTGAGGGAAAGTTTGTTGCCCAGGGAAGACATTTCATGCAAGAAGCTAGGTCATACAAAAAGTCCAGAAGCAGAAAATGTTTGAAAGTTATTTATGCGGATAATGTGATAAGAAACAACACGGCCCGTTTCTCAGTTTAAAGCGGCCTTGATTTCCATAAAATTAGAATATGAGTTTTGTCGACGTTGGCCTTCTGGGCAGTAAGGTCGTTTGGACTTTTAGGTAGGTACCAATATTTCGGGGAAACATGCTGTCTCCACCTTCAGACTCGAAGATAGCGTTACTACCAAGAAGGCCAAAATCGATATTTTCACCGCTTTGAAGACCTCAAATATCAGTAGGAGTTTTGTTTTTCGAGGTATGCCTTATTAGGTACCACTTTCTTCAGTGGACGAACGTTGTGTATTTCGAATATGTAGACTTTATTTTAAATTTCAGACTCACGGCTTAGGATGTACAGATGTTCTAGCTTATTATAACTTTTAAAACCAAATGTTGTCACGTATATATGCTGCCTTTCTACAGTACAGCATTGGTAGGCATATTACATATACATCTTTCCTCTAAATATGGTTACAAGTGTTTTGTAAAAGGGTTAATGCAATGTACTTACTATATAACACTAATTCGTGTTCTGTACAAGTTGGAGTTGCATACCCTTGCCGTAATTTTATCGTATAATCGGAAACGGCATAACATATTTATTTTGTGCATACTTACTGGTGCCGTAAACTACCCCTTTCTTCTGCCGGTGTCTGTAAGCTGGACAAAAGGAGCAAAACAGGCAGCTCGCTATTAAGACACCGATTGCAACCAGGATTCCGACAACGATTGCGATGATTGTATAAAGCCTGCGTCAGAAATACAACACGAAGTGTTGTTGTTAGTGACAGGTTCCTGAAATGTTCTTGTTAACATTTCAAAGTATTTACTGCTTAATGACTGAAACAAGGAATGCTTTTTGTAATATCATAACTACTTTTATCAAGGCGTGCTGGAATTTTGTGATCTGAATCATACATTTTTTAGGCTTATGAAAATGGAGAAATCGTAGCTTGCAACAAAAGCCTTAAGCACACATGATTTTGTAAATACCAAGTAAAGAAATTAATTTAGTCATAAATTTATGTACAAAATGTGTATGAATGTCACAGAATAAAATGTAAAACACAGGAATTTGATATAAGGCAAGTTTTTTCAACCTTTACGAACTTGGGGCAGCATAAATATTTTCTTATGACTCGCGAGCCGCCGGGTTATAAGTGACAACAGTTTAATGAATCTCCATGGTAGCTTATTAAGAATGTTACTAATTTACTATCGCGGACAGATTAACATAAGAATGTATTCAGTTATTTTCTTTAACGTATGTCTTGACTTCTTATTCCCATGTATTATTCACTTAAAATTATTATTTAATGTAAGCTATAACATTTGTTAATAAAAATGAACCCAGATACCTCAAAATAAATTAGAACCTGGCAGGTTGAAAGCCCCTGCTATAATGTAATCAGTTTATTTCCAAATATTTAAATACATAAGTAGTAAAAGTGGGCTCTATGTTAAAGTAACTCTTTCTGTGCTGAGTTTAATTTAGAAAACAAAATGACTTTTTTACGTGTGTATTTCCATGCAGTTTCTAGGTATACACGTAATGGTCTCCTGGCAGAAGAACCAACTGTACTTTCTAGTTTAGATATGGGATGGAAATGAGTTGCATATTGATAGGAACGTGGACGGGAGTAATGGTGGACTGACAACTAAGTACTTTAGATATATTAGCCAATTTTTTCTGTGGGAGCTGAGTTGATAAAATATTGAAAGGGGTTTTCCGATATTACAGTGATTTTAAAGATAAGATAAACATCTTGGTAATTCAACTCCAAGGCACCAGGTTCAAAACAGATTCAACTGGATGAGATTAGGAGATCAGGACAGTGTCCAATTTCATGTTTGTTTTAAATGTTTTGTGAACCTTAAAGTTTCATAAAGGCAGTTATTGATCAACTGAATAAGAGCCAGATTTGCAAGAAACGTTTTTTACCATTGAGTTCTTATGTGGGTTAAAATATTTGCATACCATTTTTCAGCGAGTTCTGCCGCATCTTCAGGGTCGTAATCGCGGGCGCATGGAGCTCCTCCGTCTTCGTCTGCATTTTGTAGAAAATTGGGAAAAGTGACAAGCGTTTAACGAATTAGTTCGAGATTTAGAAACAAATACAATTCATCATCATCTATGGTACTTCGGCTCCATTTTCGGGCCATGACCTCCCCTACAAATACAATTACAGTTACTAATTTTTCATGACTTTTTAGCGCCAAGAATACTTTTGTATGTTTTATATATATCTGAGTTCACAAAACTTCAGCAAACATGAAGTCTGATTACCGATATTTAGATGAGACGAATTTATATTTACCAAAAAATTGTCATTACGAACACATTTTATTTAATTAAATAGTTAGTTAGTAGTAGAGTCAATAGCAACATAACTCCTAATTGTAAACAGCCTCTTATTCTTATATAGTTTGAAGAAACCTAGAAACACACGTTCAATTAAGATTATAGAATCTGTAAGGGAAATATTTTATCAATGCAATAAGCGTAACCATGAAATTACAACAAGAATCGGGTTTAAAATTTGTTAACCACTCAACATGTTTCAACCTTTAAAATGTCATTCTGAGGGATAACACCCACCTTCGTATTGCAGCACAAGCAACTGAGGGTTTGAACGATGTTCTTGCGTTATAATGCGTGAGTGGGTGTCAGCCCTGAGGATGGTTTTTTAATGGCCAACGTATGTTGGATCGTCATAAATCGTAAGTTCAGTTCCTGCTGTAATTTGATGAGTAACCGCCCTGATAATGGAGGCAGCAAGGACCTCTGAAACGTCGGTAAACTTCTACCAGACTACGTGGCGCTACAGCCTAGAAGAAGTGTTTCACTTGTTGGCTTTAAAATGCTGCGATTTAGTTCGTTATCCTGTTATAACATAAATGATTAATTTTTACCTTTGCAGTTGATTCCTTGACGATCAGCGGCTCCAACAAGGGTAACATAAGCAACCACTAGAATTAGTACACAACTTTTATTCATTCTGTTCGCGTTGTAGTCCGTGGAGAATAATTGTTACCGAAAGATTGGCAACAACTGAACGAGTTTTTCAAATACCTTGTTATCTGGGTGCCGTTCTTATCAGGTGAAACATACAATGTGAACGTCACTGCGCGTTCATCATTAATCTGTGTTTTCGTACAAACGTCAGAAATAATTTATTTCATTGTTAGTGTTTGTATAAACTTAAGATTACCGATGTCAATTTTTTTATTTGCGTCTGCGCAATGCAGCTCAGTTTAGTTAATGGCAGTCGTGACATTTTGTTATCGTCATCATCATGAGATAAAATTTGACTTATGATAGCTGTCTGCGTCTCCTCTTCTTAGGTTTTCCAGGATTTGGTCCTTTTGGATGACATTCCATTGCAGTTTCATTTTATTCTTACCATATATTAGCAAATGTTCATTTCAAATCTAAAACTTCTTGACGATGGTGAAGAGTTAATTGAATAAAAATTTACTTGGATATTATCCATCGTCAGTAGTACTGAGTAGGAACCTGAAGACGGAGATAGAGCCCCATCTCCGAAACGTCGTTTTACGTTTTTACGTTTTATTACTAGACGATGGATAATATCCAAGTAAATTTTTATTCAATTAAATGTTCATTTGTTTCTGCCATTTTGGATTCTGCATTATGCGTATATAAAGAACGGACCGACGTGTATATTCATCTGGGTATAGGTGCGAAGTTATCTGACGTTGCTCACACTTAGTACTACGCAGAATCATTTGCATCTAGATATAATCGGTCTGCACTGAGTTAAGACTTGGCCAATATACTGGGTATTTTAATTCTGAATATGTAATATCCGCAGTTGATTAAATGATTATACTTTATTTGATTTGACTGGTAACATGTTTGTTTGTGGTGACGTTTTAAAACTTTTATTTCTATTGGATTATTTTGATGTTGGCGACACTGGCTTAATAGTGAAGTACTGTGAGGTTCACTACAGGTTTCACACCCACACGGTGTAGACTGAATAATGTTGCTGTGGGAATGTATGTTTTTTTATGTGTTCATTGAATCAAACTTTGAGTGCAGCTGTAAGGAGTTACTTGTCATATTTCTTCTTATCGGCACTGCAAGGGGTCTCATAGATTACGCTTATACTTGTACTTCAGATGAATCTTTGGCTTTTTCAGTTATTTTATTATCTTTTTCACTTGTTATCAGTTAACCGGTTTTGTGACGTGGGATAAGTCAATAATACGCACCTATAATTCAAATATGCTTGCTAAAGGTACCAGGAGAAATCGTGCTTATGCAAAGGAAAGGAAAGGTCGCAGTTTGTTTTTATAAAATTACATTTGCTATTATTATTTGATCTATATTCATTAATTCATTCATTTTAAAGTTTCCCTTGCACAGTGCTATGGCGGCCTACATTGTGCGATTATGTTTTATACATTCCAGACCTCAGGCCTAAATGGAGGACAGTAGTCAGCGCATTCTCGGACAACTGCACCCAGATGACCACTCCACAATTTACTGACTGAGGTCTCCTGACTCATTTGATTGATTTGTATGTTATTGAGGCCGGGTGAATTGTGCGGGTTAGGCAGCATAGACTGAATTGCGAGAATGAATAATCTGAAGGAATGTATGAAATATTCTTGGTGTAATGTAATAACATGTCACATACTTGGTAGGGACTGAGTGAAAAAATGTAAAATCTTAGGGTGTGTATATATATATATATATATATATATATATATATATAAGTCTCATTCAGACTCTGAATTTCCAAATGTAAATTAGAGTGACGTTCCTCCTGAAGTAAGACACTTAGTGTCCGCTAGACCATGGTCTGTTAAGTTACCTTCATGTAATAAGTATTTAACTTTATTTTCCAATGATTGATGTGATAAATACCATATTCACTGTTATCTTATTTTAGTAACACAAAAATAAATTATGTTGAACATATATCACATTAAATAACAGAAGACAGACTCGAAACGTCGCCACAGAATACACCGAACATTATTTTTTTCACACAAAATAACTGAAGAAGGCATCGGAAGACACTTCGTACCACTTGAATTTTCCCTTTTTATGTTTCATTTACTGGCCGTGCGGTGGCGTGGCGTGGTGGTACGCTGTCATAATCTGGAGGCGGCTCCAATGTCGAATTGCCTGCGATATTAGAAACAAAGAATCAGTTCCTAGTTTCTTTCACTATTTCTTGCCTCTGCGTGGCAGAGTGAGCCCTTTCAGTGGACTGCAGGCAAAATAAATCCTGCGTTTGCATAGGATTAACTTGATTTGGAGCTGGAGAAATAATGGTACCATTCTTTTATACTATGTCGATGAAAAGGGAAAACAAGTGATGGGCCCCTGTAATGAGATACAGCGAAGCGTTTGCTACAAAAGACAGAAAGGGACTACTAAGAATGTTTTTTATTTGGATGCGTATTTAGGTGACGAAATCATCCCGGACCTACAACCAGATCCATAGCAAAGATTTATTTTATATCGTCTTTATTTCTTCATATGACAATTTATATTCGAGGTAAAAAGTACTGTAAGTGCTGACGTATGCTGAAAGAGTTGCTTTAAACAGATATAGTTGCAATTTAGATTGCTTCTGGGCCATAGATAATACACTGGTGTCTTATTGTCATTTAAACTTCAAATTTAAGTTATGGTATCAAAGTTTCTTCAAAAGATATATAGCGTTGTGTTACTTATCGATTCTTCTGGTAGGGTGTGAGGTGCATTTCATACAGTTTCTAAAGCAGGCACATTTATGAAGGAAAATTTGTTTTTCTGCTATAATTAGCCAAATAAAAATGTTCTGTGAATTGTATGGAATTTAAATCTCTAACAGGTAGAAATTCGATCATAAAATCACAAAATACTATTTAAAGAAACGCTACTTGACTCGGAATAAGCTGTGCTCGAACTGGCGAGAAAAAAATTAAAACTGCTTTATTAATCCAGTCATCCGAATTTTAAGTTTGATTAATCCATATTAAACACTTATATTTGAGATATGGGAGGAATGTTGTCTGATATTAGAGAAGACGACGCACTAAAGCCAGTGTATAATAATGACAAGCCTATCCTTGTTAAATATGAGATATACTACTTAGACGTGCAAGCCTTGTGTCTTGCATTTATTTGGTGTTTGAGAAGATGAGCGAAAATAAAGTTTTCCAATATTCCTCGAAAGTTAAAACCAATTACACGTGCCTTTCACAATTTAAATAATAAATTTGTGTGAAAATATTATTATTATAATATTAGGGAGTTTCTTTAAATAAGAACAGGAAGAAAAGGGTTAATTAAATAAGGTGTTTCCATTTGCCAGTACCTGGAGTATAGATTCCCGCTGCAGTCTTAGGGAAGCCCGAGGAATCGTTGTAATAGCTGATGCATGCTGGCAACTGCTGTGAGACGCCTGAAATAAACGGCAATGCGATTGTATTTCAGTAGGGCGTAAGTGCAGAGTTTACCACATTACATTCCATGAAATAAATGTCAGAATGCCTGTTATGTAACATTGGTCTCGCCGTACATTCGTGAATATGCTAATGATTACGTAATCATTCTATACGTTTAAGAGTTATAGAATTAATAATAATGATCATGAAATTATTTCTTTTTGTAACTTAATATAATAATTTTAAAATATTGTAAAATTGATTAAAACCTGAAGACGACGGTATTACCCGTCGAAACATGTCGTTTTAATAAATAAAAAGCGCTAAATAATATAATGTAAAATCGTATTTACGATTAAGAGCGCCAAATATAATATTTTATACAACAAAATGTTTTAATATTATATAATCTTAACAACATCAATAAACTTCAACGTTTGTGTATGGACTGTAAAAATAAATATATTAAATTATTTCTGTTACTTTGAGATGAAATGAACTTGCAGCACGCAAGGTTTAAATGTGGGACACTGGCCCACACTTTCCTTATTACTTAAAATTTGTTTACCCCTACCTTGTACGTACACTATCCCGGGATTTCTGTTAAGCACTGCTGCATGGATGAAGGTGGCAGGTTGTTGTTGTTGTTGGTGGTATTGCGGTGGTACGTCTGTAACACATATTCTAAATTAATATGGCAATAATTATCAGAATATGGGTCGTGTCATACGTGATTCAATCAGCCATTTCACTACAATTACTCTCTGGTACTCTCTTGTGTTTATATTTTCTGGCTAAAATGTTGTATGGATTTCTCATATATCCCATTTGTGCTATATACCACGCCCATCTCATTCTGCTTGAATCGATCGAATTAGAAAATAATATATTTTGATTTAGAAGTACAATATGTGTAGGTCTGTGTAGTGCATTTTTATTTTTGTAAACATTTGACTTACCAGCAGAGAAAACTGCACCTTGATTTCTCCTCTGGTGGTATTTGTATGCTGGACAGCTGGAGCAATTGAGGCAGCTGTATATAACCAAGGCGATCCCGAACAGAACTAACGCCAGTGAACCAATGCCCACATACAGCCTGCACGAGGAAACAGTTTGTGCTTATTTTAACTTTGTAGTGCACATATGCTGTATTGTACTAAACTCTGTTCTATTACATAGGTTTCAGAACCTCCCTTAAAATACCATAACGTCAATATTGTTGTTTCATCTATAGGGAAATTTAAGAAAAAGTTTGTTATTTTATATGTGCAAGATTTTGTTTCACAGTTGTTAAGACAACTAACCTATTAACAAAATAACTAACGAATGAAGCAGAGCTTCTTGAGGTAGAAATAGCTCCTCACCCAGTCAAATTCCCCGCGTTTTGTGGAAATCGAAAGTTTAAGACGGTTTGTTGAGGGTAAATATAGGATTGCTCTTTGGCCTTTATTAGTAAAAAAGATGTGGTTAATTTTAAATATTATAATCATCGCGCCTTATTTAATATTTATTTTGGGTGAAAACTAAGTGTAACATAAAATTTATTGTTATAGGTCTATTAATATTTTGAAATTACAAGTTGCTTTTCAACAAAATGTAAATCATCTAATGTGTCATCTGAACAATAAAATCGACTGGGCTATTCAATGTCCATGTCACCAGTGGCTGCAAACTATTAAAGCAGATGTGTGGTCAGTTTTAAGGTAGATCGGAATCGAATAAAAAATTCAAAGTTGTTATCTACTTGAGCACATAGAACAATCGTGATAGGATTATAATAGGTTTAGATAAAAGCTGACTACTTTAATATCACGTAGGAATATTAAACAGTCTTGAGTACAAATAGTGGACAGCTGACAGCTTGTAATTTTTCGCTTTGGGCGTTTGGATTTAAGATTACAGCCCTTGCGGCAACAAATTTGAAATGTTACGAGATGCCACTTGGACGTCCAGCTATTTCGATGGCGCAAGCTACTTTGATAAGAGTGACATTAAAATTGAAAGTCGATTCAATTTATTTGTTAGTTACAAGTTTATTAATAAATTGCACATGCATATTTTGTGTAGACATATTTAAGTCACATGTTACCGTGTTACTATGGAGATGAAAAGTACTGTTACCATAGAGTGTAATCGAAACTTCTGTAGATTCCTGTATTTGATCGATGACGCGAAGGATCGTCGTTTGAAACTCCATTTCCATCTGTAAACTCAACAAAAAATCAAGTCTGATTTATTTTGTTTCAGTAGAATATTATTTTAAAAACTACGTAGTGAATAGTTGACTTGTAGGTCTTACTTGGACTGTCAGGAAAGATAAAATATAACTTCACTTTACTTGCCGTATAATGGAATTCACTAGAATTCTGAATAAGGGATCATTTGTAAACTCATTACATTTATTTCTGTGGCTGTGGATTAAATATTTCTCAAAATTCTAACTCTCTTTCATCTATTATAGATATTGCTGATAATTATCATGCTGTCGCAATTAAGTAATGAGTTTCACTTTCATTCGGAACTGATACCTGTTTGCTCTGCTGATTGAAAGGGGTGTTTTAGTCTTAACTAACAGAGACTAAACTGATGCAGAGTGTGCTAAAATGAAAACTTTAAAAGAGGTGCTAAAGAAACACTAGTTTGGATACGATAAAGAATGTTGTTATTAGGAAAAAGTTTTGCTGCCTATTAGTTTTAAAGAACAAAACAAATTTACACAGACGAAAGTGAAGTTAAATTCTTGAGAGAATTTTAGAAGAGGCACAAAGACAATGTTTAGATGTATTTTACTTTTACACAGAGTCATTATGCAGTTATTACATGGTTACTTACACAGACGACCGTAGTTTACACCATCAATATCCACACCCGCTGCTGTTAAATCAGCAACCACTAAAATTAGTGCAATGATTTGAACCCACATATCTTCTGCCTGCCCAGAAAGCAACCTAAGAGTAGCAAGTGGGAATGTAGATGTTGCACTAGTTGTTATCTCTAGTTCCACATTGCCGTTATCAGTGGCTTCTCGTATCGTTCCATGTCCATATCGATTCTTCGCATTTCAAGTGGCGTTAAAATTAGCAACGCCCCTTCTTTGGAGATAAAGGTATCAGCATTTTGTTTCCCTAGTAATTTGATACGGATATTTGCATTTCAGTAGAGCTACAAGTTTCCTTAGATTTTAATTTGTTTAAGGAAAGAAGATTTTTTAAATACTTGACTTCCACTTTCGAAACGAAGCACATTGCCTCTTTGCTTACTATTGTGCACATAAAGAGTATGTTATGACGACATAACTCATTGGCCTCTTAAGCTGAGATGAAGCTAGACCTGTGTCACTGAAACAGATAAAGCTATTTTCAAAAGTACAATGAGTTTGAAAGCGTGGTAATGTAGGGACAGGTGTGCACTGGTGATATTCGAATGTCGTCTACGCTGAATAAACTACGCGGGATAGAACTTTCTAATAAATGCGGACAGCAAATTTACCCTGGAAACTGTAGGTAACTCTACTTTGGAAAAAAGTTACATGCCTTCTATCTGCATTTTATGTTTTATCTTTGGGATATGTTGCTAAATATTACTAATATTATGATAATTAATGCAGAGATTATATAAATAATCGAAATGATTGAATCAACTGATTTTCTGTTAACTGTGGTAGAAATGAAATTCTTCTGTTGTTATGACTTTTTCCCCCGCAGTTATGGTCTTTTACCGCCCTAACCTCAGCAGCCTGTCGAATGTGAACGTATGAATCCGCATTTTGGATAGGGGCATCTAGTGGGTGAATTTAAAGTGTGTTTAGAATTTTCATTAAAGCCAGCAAACTTTAAGATCTAGGTTCTTCATTTGTTTAATTTTATTTCATTATTCATTATATCCATAGTTTACGCAAAGTATATTGGTTATAATTAGCAGATAAAGTCTAGAATTCCCTTGTGACACGAAGATTTATTAAAAATCTCTGTTACAACTCAACAAAAATTCAACAAAATAACCAGGAATTGAAAAAACACTACAAGGAGACAGACGTATAGATTATCGGGCTTTATTTTTGCTTTGCATGAATACATTTCTACATACAAGCGAAATATACAAACTAAAGCATACTCACAAGTTTAGGAGATAAAATTAAGTAAATACAGATTAATTAATCCATCGCTGGGACAAAAAAGTCTCGTATTAAAACTCAACATTCAATATGTTGCGTGCATTTGGTAAAAGTACAGGAATTACAGATTTGCTATTAACTAACGCTAAAACCATTCAGTTGCCGTTCTAATGAGAATGATCCTTAGATATTTTGGCTGTTGGAACTGGGTGCTGCTGTCTAACCGTCTGATGGAGTACCACAGTAATTGTTACGTGGACTTGCATCCATCTGAAATAAATAGTACAATTAGCAGACAGTAGGCTCTACGGCGTGTGACATGAAATATAGTTACCTAAGACTGGTTTCAGAATCTGTGTTTCTGTAATGACTCTTGAAATTCCCACCTTCAATGAAATTGACATGGATTCGGACTTTCAAGGTAGCTGAAGTTCTAGCGCCGTTCAGTCAGACTGAGTTATGAAAAATCTGTACGGTGATATATTAATAACAATTAATGGTACATATTCTGCGATGTAATGTTATGAACGAGTGATTAGTTACATTTCCATCTATTTCTGTAAAGGATGCATTAATATTTTATACTTTAAAAATGCTGATTGTTTTTGCAGTATTCAACGCAAAAACTTCCTTAAATCGAGGACCATTAAAAGGAGGGAAATCGTGACTCTCTTCCAATATTAGTATTTCTCTCTATTGTCTCTTCTTAAATCTTATTCGTGAACAACTTTTTACCTTTTTGAAATAACAACTCAGTGTTTTGAATTTCTTCGTATGTTAATATTTCACAGGGCATTCAAGTCGGGCTCTCATATATTAAAGACTTCGTTCATTTAAATCTCATATATTTTATTGACGCTAGCAGTTAATGGGCCAATAGGAACTGGCCCATCATGTCAAGTTTTTTTTGCATTCCTAGAAAAAGAGGGCCAAAGCATGAAACTAGAAAACTTCAAACCGTTAGAAGATGTCTGTCTTCTGGATTGTAGCGCCGTGTAGTCTGATAAAAGTCTGCCGACGTTTCAGAGGCTCATCGCTCTGATGATGGAGGCAACAATGACCTCTGAAACATTGGTAAACTTCTACCAGACTACACGGCACTTCAATCCAGAATACAGCCGTCTTTCAATTTTGATGTTTATTTGAAACTCTACAAAAGAGAGCTTTCTGTTGTCTCGAACAAGTGCTTAACATGCTGAGTATGAATTGTGTACAGTTGAGTTGCCTGTGGTTCTTGCCAAGCACCACGCCTTGCGAACTTAAGAGTGAGTGAAGGTATAGCTTCACGCATTCTTATCCTTGGAGTTAAACTGTTAACTTCACGCCCCGGCCGCTATATGCTTTATCCCCGAGGAAAGACTATCGGTACCCATTGATTTGGGGGGGGGGGGTTTGGACGTTGAGGCGAATCCTGTCCTACTGGGAATCGAATCATAGCCTAGTCATTATGCCGACTGAGGTACCCCGACTCAGCTACAGGAAGTATGATTCGCTGTTATTACAGTAATCCTGCATTTTCTTGTATTTCGACATTCTGGTATGAGACTGTACATACCAGTTTTAGCTTTTGTCGTTTCTCACACATTTCTTGAAACACCTGATGACCACAACGATTACCCCCAAACATCCAGCTGTAGCAATCGCTGTGTATATCCAGGTATCGGGACTGTGGAAAGCAAGAAACAGGCTCTACACATTAAATATAACACGATGTCTTGTAATAATTTGAAAAGGATAGAACTGGTTCGAAATAAATCGCAGTTGTCGGTTTTTTAATGTTGGTACGACAAATGTTTGAGTTTTGTAACGAAGTGTAACATTTATGTTTACCACAAATATGAGAACAGGCTACCTGCTGGCTGATCAGAAAGGGCTCCGTATTAGCTTGAATATGATACTTAGTTCTTCCCTCCAAGTACCTCCTGAAAAATGGACTGCGTTTAATTATTTTAGAGGTTTTGCTATAAGTGTCATAAACATGTTAAAAGTTCTTGAAATTTCTTTCTCTTTTGTGACAGGTAAAGACACTCCCTGAAATATTCGCAAAAATATTCGGTACCTGGACTACTGTGTTCTGAATTCATAATTAGTAGTATAATATGTACAGCTGATGCAAACTATAAATTATTTCCAGCCCTTTCAATTGATTTTTTCTTATCCGCAGTGCTCATTATATTCGGGGACATAACAGATCAGGGTGAATGCCTTATTCCTCTTTCTGCACTGTACCTCGTTTGCTTACCTTCCTGGATCGTCTTCAGGTGCCTCGTCATTACAATTTGGACATGGAGTCGTATTATTCTCGTAGATATTCGAGTAAGCATCTGAAACGAACATGGGAACATAAACTGTAAGAAAATGCACGATGCACGATGCAATGTCATCAGTCAACTACAACATTTATGAATTGTATTAAGATGTTCTGGTACTGTGCCAGATATGTCTGATTTGTCGGCCGTGAAATGTGGTTCCTTATGATCACGGATCATCTCTTGTGATCACCCCCATTCTGTTATTTTTATCATAGAGCGAGGTCAAATTTGTAATCCTCACAATACATCAATATATTAATTGCTAATAACATAAAATGTACTCCAACTAATTACTTAAATACCAATTATCTTAGTGTAAGCGCAAAGATTAATTAAGAAATTTTAGAAATATAGTCGCCCGCTAGCCTTCGACGAGTGGAAATTTACAATTACCGAAGCTTGTTTCAGTTTTGTCTGCTGTTCATAAACTGAATTGTGGGAACAATATAAACGGTGTTAACTATTAGGTTCAGAATTGTTTATAATTCTAGTCAATCAACTTACCCATAGATTTGATATCGCCTACCACTGCATGCAGTAAACACATGAGTGTGAATATGAACCTGGCTCCGTGGAACATCTCGTTAAGTCACTGACGACAGATAAGTGTTTAGTTTACCGACACTACACGGAATGAAAAAGGAAATGTTCGGACTGAAGCGCACTCATCTCCTGGGTAATGACTATACCAATCGATTGCCATTAGTCAGAAAATCAGATGGCATTGTGCTGTTGGTCTTCGAACGATTAGAAGAACATCGTTAACAGCATCTGTTAACATAACTTTTGTCCTGATCCATTTGGGATAACAATATTTAACGGGTGCGTAAAAAGTCGGTTCTTATTTCAGTCGATGATCTTTGTATATTCATTTGTTCGTGTTAAATGCACTGTGTAAATTCAGACTGTTTGGAACATCCAATTTGAAACACTAGGTCGATTATGATGGGAATCAGTAATTAAAACTAATGACTACGAAGAGGGCCTTGGGGTTTGACTCATAATAAAAGCATTAGATTAGACATTTTTACTCTAACCTCAACCTCTAACCTCTAACCTTAAACCTCAACGTGAAGAACGGCTTTGGGACTTATCCAGCCTCTTATAACTTTTAACATAAGTTATGTAATACGATAAAATACGGAGTGCTTCAATCATAGTGTAATTTCTGTTTCCACACACGAAGTTTATGTAGAAGGACCGAGGAAAACGACGAACAGTATTGGACTGCGTGCTTCAGCAGTGTAAGAAATAAAACTGAATAATGTTTACTCGATGCGATGAGAACCTGAAATCTCACCTTCAGTCATTTTTGTTTTTTGCCTCATGAGATAGGATTCCTGGATGAGATTTAGAAATCAACCAAAATCTGGAATGTTTCCAGGACTTCTGATATTAGTTTTGTTCCTGTAATTTCAATACTACTGTGCCAGACACCACATCATATATTTATTACATATTTATATAACTGGCAGTGGCGTTCTCCTTAGATTAATGCAGAGTGTTCCTTTAATATCTAAATTCATTACCGGGCATTTGTTCTCTTAACCGTTGAAAAGAGTCGTTGATTTCTGAATGTGTAAACTTACTGTGAATTATCCACATTTATGCTAAGCTGTGATCCATTTCCCCGCTGAAGTGACTATCCATTTTGGATAGTCACTTCAGCGGATACATTTGAGAGTGCGGAAATAATTGTTCGCTTTTTGTATTTATGTATTTGACTCTTGTTAGAAAGCTAGCTTTAATTGAGCGCACAACGTAGCCACTTACTACCTGTCTGTCGTATTTAAATCAGTTTTCCCGTTTCCGTGTCAAGCGTTACGCGGCAGCAAGGGTCCTCCGTTCATTACCAATTTCGGCACTAAATGGAAGTGAACAGTCAGCCTCCCGCCTCGGCCGCCTTCGCCCTGTGTAAAGAGCCTCCCGGTATCCATGAATTAGGGATTTGGATGGACAGAACACAAATCAGTGACAAAATTTATTGTTAACATTGCGATGTTCATAATGTTGTAATGTACGGTTTTTTAAAAGAAGACAAAAGGATAAATTCATACATTCATTACCACAACCGTTCATGAACAATTTTCATGTAATCAGCGATCCTAACCTCTTGCAGCAATGTTTATGTTCAAAGACATAATGCGACACTTTATGTTTGTCGTATAAGCATACAATCTTCAGTTCTTGATTATGTCAGTTGCTCCAACTTTATTGTTTTTCTTTGTGCTTAAATATTACTCTCAGAGATATGTTTCATCACGTGTCTTCTAGCGACAGTCATATTAATATGTCTGATGAAAGTTGCAGACCTTCCACACCGAGAGCAATTTAAGTTCACTCAAATAATTTGAACGATGTGGAACTTGGCTGTAGCCATAATCATCTTCTTTTCCTTCTTCATCTTCCTTCCATCGTTGGGTGAAGTGTGGGGTGATAGGTAATTCTGTTGACATTTCTTGTGGCAGTATTTCTGCCTTATTTTTATTATCCAATAACACATCGTTTCATTTAAAGGACAATATATAATTATTGTTTAAACTATGTCTAACTTTCGTGTAATATCAACATCCTACTTTTTATTTGTCATTTATTTGCTGCAGACTGGATTGTGTTCTTGCTCTTTTATTTATTTAATTACGAACGATATGGAAAACATTGAAATGAGAAACAGAATTGTTGTATGTAAAATACTCATTTTAATTGTAATTAATAAGGTATAAAATTCACCCAGTATTGTTTTGTACTCCAGTGATTGTCAAACATTCTCTTTCTCTGACCTGTAAGACGTGTCCAAATAAATATCCGTACCTCCGGGGGGGGGGGGGGGGAGTTCTGTTTCAGTTTGAATAGCTTTCCAGTCTACAGCAGCATACTCTCTGTATATAAATATCACGGTAAGTTACGACCGTCTGAAGGACTTCTTCAGAACTCTACGCGTTCGCAGATGGGTTTATCCTTCTCGTCTCGATTCTAGTAGCCGCTATCCGAATTCTGCGTTGTTGTCTCCTTTCCTCTCGTGAAATTGATGCATAAGAAGGCGGTGGTTCATCGGGGAATACTGCAATTAGAAACAGGCATTAGAAATGCACGCGTTCCGAAAGACTTGACGTTTTTTTTAAAGTGCTTGGGTTACCAGTAGATCTTTATGTTTATAACCCGTAATAATACAAATAAAGCAAGACAGGCTGCAATTATTAATTATTTATTTTTGTTATGTTAATATTTTTCGCTCCTCCATGTTCTCATTTTCCTATTAAGAACCTCTTTAAACGATTGCTTCTTCATCATATCCGCAGTCCCCCAAAGGGTCTAGTAATACAAAATAATTCTAGTCTTATATATTAAAAAGCAGTCGTTGTCATTAGACAATTAAAATCATGGATGGGCCGTTTTTTAATACACAGATGAAATGGCTCTTACTTTCCTTAAACCAGATGAGGATAATTTTCTGTTACAACTTCCGATTCAAAAGACCATTACATTATCTACCTGGAGGGGGTTCGTAGGGAGGGGGGCGAGCCGAATAGGGGGGCAGTTGTTGTGGAGGTGGGTGAGTCACGTTGTACGCTGAGGCGTAGGGATTCTCGTGTCGCACCGCTAATTCTTCCGAGTAGCTGCTGTCGGCTGGCCGTCGCAGCTGGGGCGGAGTACTGCCGATCACTGCGATGTTTGTGCGACGAGCTGGAAATGAACGTGTCTGCTGAAGTCTTGACATAAGTACGGCCAAGGGGCACTGAACACACAATGATGGATACCTTAATATTCGTTTGTTTCTTTCACCTAGGAACATGCTGCACATAGGATTTCAGGACACGCTATAGGACTCATTGAATGAGGAATGAAGCAGTTGCAAGGGTTGTACGGATCAGCGTACAGTTTAGTGCAGCTCTCGGAAACAGTGGTAGTGGTTGTTATGCTTACCCATGACCATATCACGCCGGGATGTTCCCACTCGCTTGACTAGCTTACACCAGCGGTAGCAAGCACCCATCAGAAAAAGTAAGCACAGGCCTGCCGCTGCAATCAGCACGCCTTCCATGGCACTGCAGCACAAATCGTGGCATCTTTGATTTCCAATATTAAAATAGGCAGCGTTTTAATGTAAGACTTGGAGTTCTTAAATTGCTCAATCCTTTTGGGAAAACTCTAACATGTGCACTGTACTACCAACTATGTTTATTCATGTACTTTCGAGAAAGTCACTGCCCGTAGCTCAGACTGTATAGCGTCGAATGATTAGGTCATTTAATGAGCAATGACTTGGAAGCGGCCGTAGTCTAATTTAAGGTGCTATCCGGAATTTGTCTGGAGTTAGAGATGGAAACTAAGGAAATCCTCAGTGAATATAGACAGTTACTAGGCCTAGATGTGAACTCTTGACCCCCCCGAATTCGAAGTAGGAATGCTAACCACTCGGCTGCGACGTTAAGACCACTGTATCTATGTACTCGAATGTATGTACGAATGCGTGTGTGTGCATGTTCGTGTCTGCATAGGCCTACTTACGCCTGTCACTTAAAATATTTATGGGTGATGATCGTTGAACAGCAGGTCTACTTGCATCTATAAAACAAGTTTTGCAGCCTATATTTGAATGTTTAATCGTTATTATTATTAATATTATCATCATAGCGCTCATCATTTTAAACATTTTTCATATTTCAAGTTCCTCAGATGTACAACTCTATGCATGTTTCAGTGCTTGTTGGAAGTAGGCTTATTCAAGGACCTCAGATTAACGGCGTTGACACTGAACAAGTGTGATTAGATTAAACAGAATACGACATGACATTCAACGCTGAAGAAACGTTGGCAAATTTTAATTTCGGTATAAACAGAATCTTAGTAGCCTGTTTGTTGGGTGGCACTGACCGTAAGCATGACAGCATTACTAGACAACGTTTTGTCCTAGTACGAGTGTACGTGGTTGTAATAAATGCTTACATTTAGCGAAAGAAAAGCTGCATGAACACTTTTCAACTGCACACGAAATACCAAGCTTAAGAGTACTGTCCCTTCATTGTCAGAATTTATTAGGTGTTTGAGACACGCAGAAAAAGTGCCACTCCATCTCTCAACTATGTTTTCTGTAATATATATCGTATTTTATCAAGGCATTATACTAAGATAAGGTTTAGTTACATAAAGACTCGCATTTAAAAGTTTAAAGTTACATTGTGAATGTATATGTGCTTTATTGCGTGTTAATTTATTTGTTTATCGTCGAATGGGATAATGGACAACGATGTGGAAATGATATGGTTCCTATACTGTTTTAGAATTTACTTGGAAGGACTAAGGAAAACCACGAAAACCCTCAGTAGATATAGCCTGTATATCTTGACTTTCCGAACAAGAATTAGGATTACTAACCACTCGACCGTGTCATTTGGTGCATATGAACAGTCCATCGAAATTCGGAGTGAAGAACATTATGCAACTAAACATGATCATAACTCCACGTTTATAAATCCATACCTTAATTTCAACTTCACCTCCTTTCGAATTTTTATGTCGGAAACAGTACTAGCACCATTGTTTGTAAGATATTGCAAATGCGTAAAATAATGCACCATTTTTCGAACATTTTTACGTTGTTTATCACAACATCACGTGCATACCAAAAAGAAAGGAAAGTTTTTATAGGCATATTTAAGAGCAGGCTTACCGTAACGTTGCCAGGTAAGTTATTACTAAGTATTCTTATTGCTACACCAAAAATTTCCATCCTGTTTCTGTTCTCTTTGGTTCAGATATTCTCATCACCCTGTTCACCCGCGCAAACACAAACCAGTCAATAGATTCTAAACATCATCCATTTTATTCCACACCACTACACTGTGTCTATCTAATATCAGTTTTAATATTATCTTTTCATGTACGCCTGTATCTCCTAAGGGGTGTATTTTCTTGAGGCTGTTTGATTGCATTTGTATTTATTGTGCCCCTCGCGTGTTTTACTTGTCTCTTTATTTCACTGCCCCTTGTTTAACGATGCAAATAATGTAAGGAGAATGGTACATTTTTGTTCATCATCTTGGAATATAAATATTTACAGACAAAGAAACCATACCTTAAATCCATGTCTGTCGGTTCTCGAAGGCTTCAGATGTTATCTTCACATGTCGATGAAATCATTGTACGTCTTCTACATCGTTGACTGCCATCTGAAGCCCAGAGTACCGTGATGGTTTCTGTCGTTATCAAACGAGTCGTTATCATTTTAGTATCAGTAACGAACGTCATGGCCGTAGGAGTGATAGAGCAGGTGAACAAAAGTGACAGTGAAGCAACAGAACTACTATGCCATGTAGAAAGAGACTTTCGCATGAAGCCATCTTTCCTTTGAAGTAAGTTAGTGAGGTCATCCATCAGGCTGCGAAGACACTGACTGTGTCTGTGGGCATGAAACGAGGACTCCGTACGTTCAGATCCGTCCTGTCTCTTGTGACAGTCGAGTTCTGAGACGTTCATCAGAATATTTTAACCTTCTATGTGGTAAACAATGGCGAAAACACTGACTGATTGATTAATAGATTATTTTATAGCGTGTCCTTTTGGATTAAGATGCTGTGCAAACTTCTAGGACACAAACATTTCGGAGGTACATATCGTCTCCATCTTCAGCGTTTCTCCTAAATGTTGATAGACACGTACAAAACTACACTGCGTTATAACCGAGAAGACCATAATCCAAATGTTCATAGCCGTGAAAACCTTAAATGTCATATAACCAACTAAGTACCTAATTAGATGATTAATTGTAAAATAGATGTAACTGTTATTAAAATACTTTTTATGTCACCCTAAGACTTAACAGGGGGTGGAAACAGAAGACAGTGCCTGCGTGTTCTTGAATGCAACTTCACTACCCTGTTCTGCTAGTTCCACAATTATCAACGAAAAAGGACTGCATGAAGGAAGAATAATCATTTTAGTTTGTGCCACTGTGTCTGTAATTTCTGCATGCAGACATTCTGTGGGCAGATTATTTACAAATTTTACTGCGAAATGAAGATAATTACGCCCGACGACAGCCTCAATGTAGGGCCCGGTGTACGTAGTGCACATAAAAAATGCCACCGTTAAGAAAAATACCACATAAAATGAGAGTTGATAGTAAAGATATCCACGTTATATAAAATACCCTTGAATACTTTTCCCCACACTGTAATTTTTTATGCATGTGAAGACTGTCCCCATGTCCTCAGAATTTCACTTGCAGCCTCTGACAAGAGAAATATGCTGCAATTTTGGAGAGCGTGGAATATCTATCAATTTTTGTAACAATTTGTAATCTATCAGAAAATAAGAGATCTAAATATTCAGAATTGAACTTGTATGAAAGTTCTTTGTAACTGTCACATACCAAGACTTCTCTAACAATAAATATTTTCAGCATGAGTAGTAGCTTTCATACTTATTTACTTATAGTTTATTTTAATACACTTTTTCAGTAACTCAGTCTGTATAACGTCGATTGAGAGGATGATAGTGAATAAGGAATTGGAAAGTATGTGGAAGGAAGCGGTTGTGGCCTGATGTAAGGTACTATCCCCGCATTTGCCTGGAGGGTCTGAGGAAAAACAAACAACCTCAGTCATGATAACCGGTCTCCGGGCCTATATTTGAATCCGGGACTCCTGAATATGGAGCAGGAGTGCTAACCACTCGACAACGACTTTCGGTGCTTTCCTGTCATGATGATTCACATGTGACTAAATGTTTAGATCTACGCTCGTCAACATCATGACCAAACTTATATGATAGAGTCTTCAGTACTGAAGACCACTTTTTTAAACTGTGACTATAATGATGATTTGCATCCGAAACTACTATTTTGAAACAAGTTGCTACATTCTGGCTTCACTTAGGCGCGTTGGATCAGTAACGTACCATCCGTTGGCAGGTTCCAAGTCTCAGGTTGCTGTATTTCTGGACCCCCGACCACGAAGTAATATGGAGGTGGTTGTGAATCTTTGTACGCTGTAAGAGACAAAATTACCAGCAAGTGTATGAACTTCAGCATAGAAGGCGCAATATTTGAATCACTGATATACTTCAAGTATCGTACTGGCGTGGGAGTTCCCGTGGGATTAGTTGCACTCATTGCACTTGCTTTTACCTGGTGGAACTTTCCATTGAATCTGTTCCGATTTTTCCACCGGCCATCTTGGGGCTGAGTAGATAACTTTGCGATTTTCTGCGGATGAAAAATTAATTCACAAATAAGCGTATTAATTAATTAATTTCTACAAATAAAATTAAAATTTTAATCTTATGGCATATCAAACTGACTTGACAGACCACACAAGTCTTCATTTGTGACGTATAATTATTTGCTTGCCAGTAATTAATGATAAATGTAAGTGTATCTAGAATTCTTCCGTTTAAAATAGGTTACACTATTTTCAGTGGTAGTCTTGTGAGTTATGAGGCTGATTAAACTTATAGATTATTACCCACATTTCGGAAGAACATACAGCCTCCATCTTCAGGTCTGAAGTCAAAGTATACTTCTGAGAAACGTTGGTAATCTACTGCACGTCCAAACAGCGTTACAAATGGGAAGACCACCATCGACGTTTTTAGGAATATGAGTGGAAACCTACTTACCACTTATGAATTTGTCTCTGTCTTGCTCTTTCCGAAACAAGATCATGAAAATCCTGTAGCAGGTGAGCACAAGAAACACCATCAGGATGGTCCCTCCCATCGTGATGAATAGGATCACGGATGAGGAGACTGTTCTGGAAAATAAGGGCTTATGACGAAACTTTTTTCGGGAGCTATACTCAAAATAATTTCGGGATTTCATATCTGGCACACAACACACTGGCATGTTTTGTGCCCACGTATCCAAGATCATGTCAGATATAAGATCTCTTATCTCGTTTATTATCGGACTGTTATTGTCTTCAATTAGGCTCAGAAAATACTGGCTCCAGAAGGTTTTCCTTATTTTATTGAATCGAATTAATGTATTTTGCTGCAAACATTGTGACGAACCTATACCAACGTCACTTTCATGTGAGGTTCTGTCAAGGCAGTATGAGAGTTGACCTTACGATTAGAAAATTGCAATAACAATTTAGGTTAAGTTCAAGTTTATTTTTTGAGTTTTGGTTTTGTGTTTAGTGTGGTAAAGTCGCAGTTGCTTAGTAGAGCTTAATCGACTGTGTACCTACAAACGGCGTTTTTGTCATCTGCAGAGGTTAATAGTCGCCTAATGTGAAATGGCAAGAGCTTTATGGGAGAGACTAAAGAAATAATCTCTATAATATTTTAATGACTTTTGTTGTACGAGGAAGGATATTTGATCAGCTTAAAAGTGCTCCATCAACTTTGGAGGTTATGTGGGACTGAGCAGCATGAATAATCATTACGTAGGGGCCTATTGTGAAATACAACGACAAGAAAAATGTTTGGTTCTCTCTTTAAATGTATTTGCCTGATATTCATTAGTGTTGTATATGGAGCAATACACACACATTCCGGACAGACAGGGATAAATTACGTTTAAGGTTTACATGCGTCATGTTTGTGTTTTTGATTAAAATATATAATAAAATTCAGGTCAATACACAAAACTTTATTTGGATGTTAAAATTTAAAATTTAAATGTTAAAATTTTAAATTTTAACATTTAAATTTTAACATTTAAATTTTAAATTTTAACATCCAAATAAAGTTTTGTGTATTGACCTGAATTTTATTATATATTTTAGGGATAAATTAATCTACCGTCAAACTGGGAAGTGCGTTATATCTGTTTTGTACAGTGGAACAGTGGGGCAAACTAATAAAGTCCTATATCACGCGAAGAGTGATACAGTTCAAATATAAAATTGTGATTAGAAGACTGATGGGTGCTTTTTTCTTCTTAGGCTATGACCCGCTGTGAGAACCTCAAGTCTTACATATGACGGACTTGTCCGTCTATCCCGTTATGATTCAGAACTAATTCTGGGTTTCTGGGACTGGTGATCGGCCCATCCCAGTATCTGCTTATATCAATGTGCATACATGTCTCGAG